GCTAAGGTGACCCCTGTACTCTGTGGAGTCCATTATCCTCCCACTGAGAGGACTCACCCCAGTATGAGTCACCTATTACTCTCCCTTTACACCCCCCCTCCCCATCTGCCCCAATCTGACTGGTCAATGGTCCCTGACACACCTGGGCCTGTGTCACAGCTCAAAGGTCACCAGGTGACACTATCTCTCAGGGCCTCCCACAGCGCTTGGCAGGACCTCACGGGGGAAGTCCTGTGGCATCATGAGGCGTGTCCTCAGAGGGCCCTGAGAGAAGGGCAAGCGTCTTGAGGCGCTACATTGTTGAGGTCTAATTAGCTGTAAGCCTCTCAAAGCCAGTGCCAATGCTGCACCTGACCTTGATCACAGCCTCGCTGGCCTGTATCTCACACCACGTGGTGGATTTGGCAACTCTGAACCCAGCTCTCTGAGCTCTGCTCTACAGAGGAGGAAGGCAGAGCCCAGATCAGAGACGGGTGCTGTTCTGGTCCAGAGACAGCAGAGTGGGAGCTGAGGTTTTAGGGGGCAATGTGTAGGAGCCCTGGATAAATCCAAGGACCCAGGTTAGAATGCCAGGGAGCTGTGCAACTGGTGGCAGCATAAACATACTATACTATTAGATCCCACAGTCAGAGATATCTGGGGCTGGACTCACAACTCAACCCTGTGTTGGCAGACCCTTGATCTCTGCACCTGATCCTGTAATCCCGTACTACACCTCCCGGCACCCGCTCATGGGGCCGAACGCCACACTAAGAAGGCACTTTACAGGGGTGACAAGTGGGAAGCAGAAAAGTAAAGCAGGAAGAGGCATAGGATGTCCTAATGTAGAGTGAGCACGAGAGGGGACAGTGACCTTTACGTAAAGATGTAGTGGAGAAAGACCAAAAACCATGCTGAGGCTCAGCAGTGCAAAAGCCCTGAGGCACACACGGGAGCCCGTGGCTATGTGGCTGGAGGACAGTGGACAAAATGGGTAACATAGAAGTGGTGGGAGTGTGTGTGGATCACACTGGGTCCTTGACCCTGCGGAAGGTCTGACCAAAGGTTCATAGCGTGGCCTAAGGGAAGAGGGGGACATTGAAGGATTCTCTTCTGAAGGTTTCTGTATCCTCCAGAAAACCAGGAAGAGGTTGTGGACTGACTGAGAGCAAGACAGGCTGGAGGCAATGAGGTTGGAAAAGTGAGAAGGGCGATCATCAAGAAGCAGTGATGAGGGGGCCAGGCTGTGTCTCCCTGGGGTTCCTCTTGGGCTAGGGTAGCTACAAGAGTCCACAGGGACCAAAAACCAGCCCACAACTTCACAACTCCTCCCCTCAAGCCTGGAATGTGCTGTGCCCCATCTCTGCAGGGGAACTTTTACTATCTGAGTTCCGGAGCCCAAATCTCAAGAGGCCCTGCTGTGACCCCTTCCTGATCCTGTAATGTTGGCCTGAGGCCTGTGGTCCTGGGACAGGCGCAGGGGGTGGGGGTGGGGGGTGGCAAGAGAGGAAGAGGGCCAGCTCCAAGGCATATAGGTGTTATGATGTCACTGCAGTCCCTTGATCTGTAACTGCAGGATCAGGCCAGATGGAGCTGCCTGAGCTCATCCAGGTAACTCACAAAACAAATGAAAGAATAGATTCTGGTTTGGAAGAGATAAAGGTAGTAGCGATCACGGTCATGGTTTCATCAACTCAGTACAATGAGTGGAGGAGGCCAGGGTGTGGATTGAGCAGATAAGGAACTAGAGATAGGAGAGGAAGTCACCCAGGGTGGAGGTTAGAGGTTTCAGTGGGACTGACACCCAGATAGTGGGTCAAATGTTAGAAACTGAGGAGGGTAGGGAGGGGCAGGAGGTGTGGACCTGAAGACTAGGACCTCTCCCTCTGGATTCTGAGACCACCTGGATTTTAAACTCTCAGACAATAAAGGGTGGAGACAAGGCCGCAGAGATTGCAAGCTGGGTTCCTGGGTGTGGGAGATTGATAGCCGGAAGTGCTGCATCCAGGGGAGAGGAACAGAACACCTCCATCTCCCTGGCTGGAGGGGTCCCAGAAGAATCAGAAAGAAAAGCTTCATTCACGGAAGACTGAGGGGGAGTGGCAACCCAGTAGACAGAAGAGGTTCACGTTGTCCTGCCTGCTCTGTCTTTCTAACACTTGAGATTCCACTTTGAAGCTGTCCAAGCACAAGCCAACTCTCTGAACCCAAGCTTTTTGGAAGAACCTTGTGGTTCTAGGCTTAGTCATTTTGGTGCCTTCTGTCCAAGTCCAGGGCCAATGATCTGAGCAGGAGGTGGATGTCTGTGGTGTCACTGATGCCATGGAGTCAATGGAAAGTGATGTCAGAGTCAGAAAGAAGCACAACACAGTCTGGGGGCTGGAAGAGTGGTGGGTCGCAAGGGACATGGGCTAAACGTTGGTTTGTGGAAAGCTGTCACAGCAGCCAGAGATGCCCGCAAGGCTGGAGCCCCACGTTTGGGATAAAAATATGGAAGAAACTGCACTGCAATCCTGAAGGCACATGATTTGAATCCATCAGCTGCTCTGCCGGAGCAGATGGACAGTCTCCTCCCGTGCACTTAACTACCTCTGAAAACCTGCTGGAGGGCCAGCTATGGGTCAGTTCCAACTCGATGGTGCTCAACAACATCTTTAACTATAGCCTGCCCTCCCCCCGCCCAAAAAAAAAGAAGTAGTAGGGGCTTAGCTCTACCGTACAGCTCTCTGTTTTCTCCGTGGGTGCCCACTTGGGCCGTCCTCACAGCATGGCCACTGGTTCCCAGTGTGACCATCCCGGGACACCAGCGTGCTGTGCACATTCGAGATGCATCCTCAGAAGTAGCGCTGTGCACTGCCACAGCACTCCATGCTTGATGCTCACATAACAGGAGGGGATGAAGCCCCACTGTGCAAGGGAGCTGTGGCAAGCATACAGAGAAAGCATGTGGGCGTGAGGTGCTATTGTGGCTGCCTCTGTAAAAAGATGATAGACAAAAAAAAAAAAAGATGATAGACACCAGCAGGCTCCGCTCCAGGATCCCAGGCAGCCCTGAGCTGTCACCACCACTCAGAGCCAGGGAACCAGGAGGGCCCCAAGCTCCACAAGTCCCAATATGAAAGAGGGATGAGTACAGAGGCAGACCCACAAAGACGTGGCAACATAGACTGCCAGGTACAGCCCCTGGGAGGGACAGATGGGGACAGCAGGAGAGGACTTCCAGGAGGCTCCCAGTCCTCTGTTCTATACAGACCTCTGGCGGGTGCTGGGACAGCCAAGTGGGGGCCCTGGAAATCCTGGGCCTGGGGACTCCCTGGGATGGGAACGCTTCTCCCTCTCTGACAGGAATCTGAGATGGCATCTAGAGGGATTTCAGGCAGAGGCAGGAGGTCCTGGGATGGGTGTATAATTCCTTTCAGACTTGCTCCCCCTCCGGCATATTCTCCGAGATAATGATAACACCATGGCTGATGTTAGTACTGGGAGTTTCCTGTATATCAGGCACCATCAACATGCTCTGAGAGTAGATTTCACTTCATCTGCCTGGTCACCCCCAGGGATCCCCATTTTACAGCTGAGAACAGCAAAGCAGAACAGCGTTAGTGAGCCCATCTGCTCGGAAGGCCCCACGAGGTAAAGAACTGCCAAGAATGAAACTTGGCCAGCCTCTCCCTCATCTGAGCTCCCTGCCTGTCTGATCTTGGCGTGAGGCTGGGGCCAAGTCAGCTATAGCCAGAGCCCACCTGGACTCCCATCTCAACACTCATTCCCACCATGGGAGGCCCAGGTAGTAGCTTGTCCTGGATAGTTCCCCACCCCCAGCAGGACCCAGACAGAAAGCTTCCAGGCCGAGGAAGTTTGGGTGGCCACTGGGGGGCACTCTTGAGCTCCGGTAGCCTGAGGAAAGAGCAGAGAAACCAGCAGGGGCCTCTCCTTAATGCGGGCAACCTTTCTACCCTGGGATGACTTGAGCTTCCTGGGATCTGGGATTCAGATAGAGAGTTCAGAGAGGGGAAATGATTTCTGCTCTCCTAGCACGCTGATGATGCCAGAAACAGAGTGATGTATTCACGTCACAGCTATGGTATTGTCACTGTCCCAGGAAAATTGGCAGGAGGGGGGGACCTAGGAGGAAGGAGCTACCTCTCCCACAGACTGAACCAGCTCTCCAGGGGGTTTTGCCACATTCTCTGCAAGGACCCTCCACAGATTCTTGCCCACTTCCAACAACTTCCCATCATCCACAGGCTCAGAGGAGGATGGCACTCCTCTGAATCTCCCATCAATCTCAGAGCTTGAGAACACTTCTGTGCAGAGTGGAGTCAGAGTGTAGGATCCAGGCTGCTCCTCCCACTCTGGCTGCTCCCCACCCCCAGGCCCTGCACAGGGGACTGGTTCTGGTCTGGAATCCTGAAGAGCTTCCCAGAGGGAGGTGATGCACAGGCTTCTCTGGCAACTAGATAAGGGCCGAATATGGATGAACAGGAGAAAGCTTTGGGATAGGAACCTGGGATAAGGGACCCTGAGATGATGCCTCCCGTCTATCTTTGCCTCTTCTTACAGGTCCCCAGTGCCCCTTCCCAATCCTAAGACTGTTTTCTCCCTCCCTCTGAGGACCACCACAGAGCTGCCCCGCAGACAACAGGGAGGGGGACTTTCTAGAAAGGTTTAAAGGAAACTGTGTACCCCTTCCCCCCCTCCCCGCCCCATTCTCTGTAGCAGCTGTGACTGTTTTGTCTGCTGGAATTTAAGACCCAAGGACTGGCCTGGCTCATTGTGAATGCTCAGCAAACATTTACTGCATGTGAGGACAGCCTGAGACACCCCAGCACTGAAAAGATCCTAGTCTCTGTCTTCCTGAAGAGTAATTAAACACAAGAACAGCATCAACCTGAAAACAGCCCAAGGAAGTCCCCGAAGCCCTGTGTTTTCCCACTGTGCACTTTGAAGCATCAGACAGCAACGCTGTGACAACTGTTCCTCATTTGCTGTGTGCCTTCCTTTGTGTGACATCACTCCACCTGGCTGGGCATCTGGGTACCCACTTCTGTCTCATAGACCACCATTGACGTCACTGGCCTGCAGCGTGGCATCGTGGCATTCTGCTTAATGACATCATCCTGCAGGATCGCCATCACTTCACACAGTGATGCCACTCTGCCTGTCTGATATCATCTGCCCCTTGGTGTCACCTTCACTGGTCCACAGCCATCACCGGGCTTGTGATGTCACTCTCTCTGTTCAATGACTTTGACCAGTAGAGTCCATGTCTCCTGCTCCATCTTGCCTGGTAGCCTGTGTTAGTTTATCCTTCCAGATAAATGCTTGTTTCACACTTACGGTGCTACAGACACCCCCCCCCCTTAGCAGGTATGGCCCCTCTAGATGGGACAGATGAAGCTCCCTAAGGATCCCAGCTCAGCTGGAGGGGCCCAGGGGCTGCCTGTAAGAGGTGGTATCTTAACTGTTAGTTAGCCTAGCAGAGCTGACCCTGTAGCACGAGAGACTTTGATTCTGTTGTTGTTGCTAGGCTCCACTGAGTTCAGTCTAGTTCATAGTGACCCTGTGAACAACAGATCTGAACCCTGTCTTGTCCAATGTCATTCTCATCGTATCGGACCCCCTTGAGCCCCTTGCTGCAGTCATTGTGTCAATTCATCTGGTTGAGTCTTCCTTTCCTAGCTGACCCTCCACCTTTACAAACATGATGTCCCTCTCCAAAAAAATAGTCTCTCCTAGCAACATCCCCAAACTATGTGAGATGAAGCTTATTTCTAGCTCCTGTTGTGTGCTGTCGCATTGCAATGGACTCACAACTGACCCTCCTGCAGGTTTTCAGAGGCAGTAGATGGGGCAGGAGGAGACTGCCCAGCCTTTTCCCACAAAGCAGAATGTGGGAGAACCACGTGCTTTGGGGATTGCCATGCAGCTTCTTACCACTAGGCCACCAGAGCTCCCTATTTCTAGTCCTTGTTGTTGTGTGCCTTCGAGTTGGTAGCTGACCCTCCAGTGGGTTTTCAGGGACAGTTAATCTCAGGGGAGGAGATTGTCCATTCTTCTTCTACAGAGCTACTGGTGGATGTGAACTGAGAGCTTTTGGAATCGCAGCACAGCTTCTTGCCACTAGGCCACCAAAGGTCCCTATTTCTTTGTGGTAGTAGTTAGGTGCTGTGGAGTCAAGTACGATCCATAGCAACCCTATGAACAACAGATCTGAACCTTTTCCCATGGTGGCAGGCACAGTGCCAATCCACCTGGTTGAGTGTCCTTCTCTGACCTTCCACCTTTCTGAGCATCATGTCCCTCTCAAAGGAATAGCCTCTCCTAGCAACATGCCTGAAATATGTGAGGTGAAGCTTTATCATCTTTGCCTCCAGAAGCACTCTGGCTGCACTTTCTCCAAGACATATTTTTTGTTCTTTTGGCCATCCAAGGGCTGTTCAGAGCTCTTCTGCATCCCCACAGCTCAAAGGCATCAATTCTTCATCTGTCTTCCTTATTCATTGTCCAGCTCTCAGATGCATAGCAAGTGATCAGAAAAACCATGGATGCACCTTAGTCCTCAAACGGACATCATTACTCCTCAAAAATTTAGAGAGGTACCTGACCAGAGACTTTTCCAGTGCTGTATGTTTCCTGATTTCCTGACAGCTGGTACCAAGAGTGTTGATTGTGGATCCAAGTAAGATGACATTGTTGACAGTTTCACTATTTTCTCCATCATGAGAATCCTACACTCAGACCAGGAAGCAGACCTCAGAACAGAGCACGGAAACATTGCATGGTTCAAAATCAGGAATGGAGTGCGTCAGGGATGTGACCTGTCTCCATATCTATTCAATCTATATCCAGAACAGATAATTCAGGAGGATGGATTTTATGAGGAGAAGTGTGACATCAAGATTGGAGGAAGACTCATCAACAACCTGCATTACGCAGATGGCACAACCTTACTTGCTAAAACTGGAAGACGGCCTAAAGTACTTGCTGCAGAAGTTCAAGGACTGTAGTCTTCAATATGGATTGAAACTCAACATCAAGAAGACAAAGATCCTCGCCACTGGGCCAAATGGTAGCACCATGACAGATGGAGAAGGATTAAGGTTGTTAACAATTAATTACAGTTTGCTTGGCTCCACAATCAAAAACAAGTTGCACCAGAAAAATCTGCGGTTCTGGACCTCTCCAAAGTACTGAGAGGATGGTCTAGAGACTAAGGTGCACAAGTTCCAGGCCATGGTCTTGGCAATTACTTGCTATGCATCAGAGAGCTGGACAGTGACTAAAGATGACAGAAGAATAATTGATTGCCTTTAAGTTGTGGTGCTGGAGAAGAGTTTTGAACATACTATGAACTGCCAAGAAAACAAATAAGTCAGTCTTAGAGAGGGTGAAATCAGGTTTCTCCTTTGAGGCTAGGGTTTTGAAGCTCTGTCTGACACACTTTGGGCACGTGGCCAGGAGGGACCAGTCCTTGGAGAAGGACATCATGCTCAGAAAGGTGAGGGAAAGCACAGGATAGGAAGACCTCAGATAAGATTAATTGATTCAGTGACTGAGGCAATGGGGATAGGTGGCCAGAGTCAGTGAGACTGGCTCAAAACAGGGCAGGCTTCAGAGCTGTTGTACATAGGGTCGCAATGAGTCCAAAGCGACTTGACGGCACATAACAACAGTAACATTATGATGTTACCAGGCCAGAGCTCCCTTGACTGGCTTAGTGGTAAGGAGCCACACTGCCAAGCTAAAGATATGTGGTTTGAATCCATTCACTAGAGTCCATTAAAATTAATGGGAAACTTGAGAACAAGGAGATGAACAAAATCTTCAATTAACATGTTTAAACAAACAGATGCCACCCTGGATGTGCTTACCAGATTGTGCCAAAAAATCTGGAGGACAACTACCTGGTCAACTGACTGAAAGAGATCCATATTTATTCCTATCCCCCCAAAATAGGTGACCTGACAGTGTGGAAATTACTGAGTAATATTACACAGAGCGAATGCTGCTGAAAAGTACCCAAAAATTACTGAACAGTACATTGACAGAGAACTACCAGAAATACAATCTGAGTTTAGAAGAGGCTGTGGTACTAGAGACATTATCACCAATGTTAGATAGATCTTAGATGAAAGCAAAGAGTAACAGAGGAATGTCTATCTGTGTTTCATTGATTATGCAAAGGCATTTGACTGTGTGGATCACAACCAATTTTGGCAAACCTTGAGAAAAATGTGAATCTCAGAACACTTGATTGTGCTCATGTGAAATCTGTGCTTGGACTAGGAAGCAGTCCTTAGAACAGAGCAAGGAAACACAACATGGTTTAAAATCAGGAAGGAAGTACATCAGGGATGTGTCCCATCTCCATACCTTTTCAATCTCTATGCAGAACTGACCATTTGGGAGGCAGGACTTTATTAAGAGGAATGTGGTATCAGGATTGGAGGAAGACTTACCAACAATCTGTGCCAAGCAGATGTCACCACCTTGATTGCCAAAACTCAGGAGGATTTGAAGCGTTTGCTGTGGAAGGTCAAGTACTGTAGTCTTCAATATGGATTGAAGCTCACCACGAAGAAAAGAAAGATTCTCACCACTGGGCCAAATGGCAGCACCATGATAGATAAAGAAGAGATTTAAGGTTGTTAACGATTTCAGTTTGCTCAGTCCCACAATCAACACTCTTAGCACGAGTAGTCAGAATACTCAAAAGATGATGAATTGCATTGGACAATTCCGCTATCAGAGACCTCTCCAAAGTGATTAAAAGTAATGATGTCAGTCTAGAGACTAAGGTGCACCTGATCCAGGCCATGATCTTCATAATTACTCGCTACATATCAGAGAGCTGGACAGTGACTAAAGATGGCAGAAGAATCTATGCCTTTGAGTTGTGGTGCTGCAGAAAAGTAATGAACATACCAGGGTCTGCCAGGAGAACAAATTTGTCTGTCCTAGAGAAGGTGAAACCAAGTATCTCCTTGGAGGCAAGGTTTTTGAAGCTCTGTCTCATATACTTTGGGTATGTGTCCAGGAAGAACCAGTACTTGGAGAAGGATATCATGCTTGGAAGGGTGGAGGGACAGCACAGGAGAGGAAGACCCTGAATGAAATGGGTTGACACAATAACTGGGGCAATAGAGTTAGGTATGTAGGAGTCAATGAGGCTGGCTCAGGATAGAGCATAGTTCAGAGCAGGCGATCCAATGACACAAAAGGACAACAATAACATCATGGTGTTGCCTACACGTCCAGTGGTAAAAATTTTTATTGTCTGTTAATACGACACCCTATTTCTTATTTTTTTAGGTGCCGTCAAGTCGAGTACGACCCATAGTGACCCTGTGAACAACAGATCTGAACCCTGTTTCTAGCCCTTGCTAAATCGGAACCTGGATAACACTTAACCTTTCTGCGCTTCACTTTGTTCCTCTGTAGAGAGAAAATACCAACACCCATGTCATGAGGGTCTTTCATCAATAAGTTAATGGGTGTGGAGTGCTTAGCTGTCAGCAAAGAGCCTGGCGCTCAATAAGGATGCCCATTATTATTGCAGAGACCAGGGACCACATGAGCCTGGTGGGACACAGGGAGATCTGGCTGCAGACGATGCGGGTGTCTCCGGAGACTGAGCAGGGCTCGGACTGGATGGGGACAGCTGTAAGGAGGCCCTGGACTTGAGACGTTCCCACTCCTGCGGGCCGCTGGCCGGGTTCCCGCGCACATTCTCCTTTCAGAGGCTTCGTCCGGCTCTCCACGGCGCTCTGCCGCCCGAGTCGTCCTGGCCCGCCGCCCGAAGCCGGCGCGCGCTGGGGTGTGAGCCGGGGCGAGCCTCTGGCTCCCCTCGCCC